GCTACGACATATTAGGCTATGGTTGGTTGGATTATAGAAGCTTCTTTTTTATTTGTTCAAGTAACTTGATAACTGTTTTAAAATGTGCCAATGCTTAGTCGCAGCTAGAGTTTGCCTATCTTAAGAAAATTAACTGGGACCTATAATAATATTAAAAGCGCTAGTTTCAAAACAGTTTCTGCGAGGGAAATAGAATTTTTTCGGCCGTTACTCTACGTTTGCTATTTTCCAAAGGTTTTTCATGCCGTTGAAAGTTATTCACTTGTATTCACCGCACTTTATTTCTGAATGCTCTTTCTTGTTTTATTTGTATTGTTACGTTTCAACGTCAAGAACGTCTCCGTCAGACAAAAGTAGAATAAATGTGAAGAATATATAATTATTTAGACTATACATATGTAATAGTGCTGACGAAGAAGAAAGCGATAATCAATCATTGTCTCTTTAGCACTTTGTCTCTGTCTTGTTCTTCGTCAGCACTATTACATATATATAGTCCAATTAATTATATATTCTTCACATTTATTCTACTTTTGTCTGACGAAGACGTCTTTGACGTTGAAACGTAATAATACAAATAAAACAAGAAAGAGTATTCAGAAATAACCCAAATCTAAATGACAGGTTTAGACCGGTTAAAGCAGTAATTCCTGTAACGGATCTTATCTCTGTTTTTGTGACAAAAATTGAATATAGATATTTAATAAAGATTTTAATCGTCTGTTTTCTTTTCTTTCGTTTTTCAGATTAATAGTCAAAATGGACCATTCTCCCTCTACTGGAAGTGTTAGTTCGATAGCATCATCTTTAAAAAAATCGAATGATAGTCACGTACTCATTCGCGGTCACAAATACAATTGTCTTTACACAATTCCTCTTGCAAACGTGATTAATCCAGGTAATAAAAAATTAAAACGTAATGAAGATGTAACGTTTAAACTGAATATGCAATCCAGAGAACAACTGCGTGGAAAAATGCTGTTATTTGGTAAGTGTTTTTTCTGTAGTTCGTGCGGTTTTCTAAGGTATAACGCTTGTCAACGGCTTTTGCAAAACTGTACTGCTTTACTAACTGTCTCTTTCTGAAGGTTTTTTACGGATTGTTTTGGAACGATGTGATCTCTATAATCTGAGCTACAGTCTGTTCAAAAATAAAAGACTGATCGTGAAAGTTGAATACCTTTTGATAGGAACGTTCTAAAGTTATTCTAGCTTCAGTTTTAGATACCGAAGACTTTGCTCTATTAGAATATCATAGTTTCAAAAGTTAGCTCACAAGAACCTGCCAGAGTTTTCGCTTTTCTGTTTTTTTCATCTATTTTTTGTGAAAATAGCTTACAAATCGAAAACTTTGACGATAAGTTTTTTCTTATTTAAGTTTTATTAGATTATCAGATGTGCTCTATTGATTGGAGACGGTTTCAGCTCTCTGTGGATGTTCTTTCGTGATGTGAATATTTTTTAGAGCATGTTTCACAGCAGAACCGGGTCTTAAAGACGGACGTTTTTCTTCCTGCTCTCGAAAACCTGTGAAACCACGCTATTAAGATAAAGCAAAATCTTCTGTATCTAAATGTGAAACTAGAACAATTTTAGTACGTTCCTATCAAAAGCTATGCAACTTGCACAAATACATCTTTTATTTTTGAATAGGTTGTATAGTACGTTTTTGGTATTTTTAAGTTTCTATGTGATATGCATTTAAAAAAAAACGATCTTGAAAAAGAGAAATATTTATCCAAATATTTTCACGGAAGTATTTTAATTAGAGACGAAAAGCTTTCGATCCTTTTTCTAAATGCAGTTTCGAGGAGAATAAAAAGCTACCTCTAAAATGTCTTCGCATACTTATGACGCTTCTTATAGCATAATTTAATTCATTTGAATCATTTTTTAAGCTGAAAAATTTTTAAATACATAATAAGATATAAATGAACAAATATAGCTATTTTCTGTTAGACGTTTCGTCTTTATTCAAAAGACATTATCAGTCGAATGTGACAATGGATAGTTGATTGATAGTTGATTCTCTTATTTTTCTGCCTTCAGAATCAAAGAATCAACTATCCATTGTCGCATTCGACTGATAATGTCTTTTGAATAAAGACGAAACGTCTAACAGAAAATAGCTATATTTGTTCATTATGATAAAGGTGGTTTATATCTTATTATCAAACTTAATTCATATTAAAACGCAAGGTTCGTCCCACTGAGCCAAAGAAACGTAGAAAACTGAACATTATTTCATTTTAGGTGATGAAACGTTATGTAACGATCAGATGCAAGTGATTAATGAAGCTGAATGTTTAGACAATGCGAGTACGTCTAACAAGGAAAATGAAGCATTCCATGAAACACCTTTTCCTGGTCAATCGGGTGGTGCTCCATTAGATTCGACGCAGGTAAAACAGAAATCGATGAAACATAACAAACTGACCGAGCCAATAAGTAAAGAGCAACAAATTACCGCTGAAATTAAAAAACAGAAAGAAATCAAAAAAGCTAAATCATCGGAAAAACAACAACAGGAAGCTACGATAAAAGAACAAAGACCATCCTGCAGCGGTCAGTTGAAAGGAAAACAAAAACCTGCAAAAAAGATAAGTCACGGTAAGCTGTCTTACCTTCTTAAAAAAATAAGGTTCTAAGCAGTTCTAAAAGAATATCCTTCTTTCTTTATTTCTTTAGGCTTAAATACAGAACATCGTGTAAGTGATTCAGGACGGAAAGAAAAACGCGAAAGCGAGATGCGTCGTACCGAGACGCGCCTAAGCGCGTCACGGTACGACGCGTTTAGACGCGTCGCGGAGACTTCTTTCGGTAAAGCGCGTTAAGACGCGTTTTTTTAATAAAACGTGCTAGACGCGACTAAACGCATCTCGGTACAACGCGTTTAGACGCGTCTGACAATTTTTTTCTGAAAAAAACGCGTTTAGACGCGTCTTTTCCAAAACAAACGTGTTTAAACGCGTCTTTTCAGACGCAATGAATTTACATGGGTAACAGAACGAACGCTCGATGTCGTACCTCTGCCAACATGGGACAATGATATTGGTATCAGTTTGACTCGCACAAATAAAAACAAAACGTGCCATCAAATGACCGGCGACGTTTTCACATACACCACGCCCATAGCCGACCGCCTCAAGAGACAACGCAATCAGACCATTCGATACTACTATCGTTTTCCATGAATAATGTAGTCGGTTGTTATGCAATAACTTTTAATGATGTAAGCTAGCGACTTGCGGTTTTCAGTTTTGAAAACTAGATACCTGATCACATATTTCTGTACGCAAAAGCGAATTTTGGAAAATCTTTTGAAGCGGGTTTTTCTAAGGATCTTTGGAAAACCAGCTTGGGTTTTCCGAAATTTAAATAGGAATATATTGTTTTTTTCCGTGGACTGATAGCCCGGGATGTTCTCTTCAAAATGGAAGTAAAGTGAGAGCTTGATTTTCTGCGGTTCGGGCGTTGTGTCGGATTTTCGATGAGTCCCAGGACTGGCACCCGGTAGCCTTGAAGACGGATGGATTATGGATAATCGCCCATGCTGAGTCGTATGGTAATGTTTGTTCTTGAAAAAAGTTTTAAAAATCTACCGAAAAGTCAGTTTTACGAAAATTGGGGTTTTCAGACTGTTTTCACCTAATATTAAAAAATTCACCATTCACTCAAAAAACATCAAAACAAGCTCAACATCTCAGGATATGATTAATGTTGTTCATTAAACGTGATTATAAGATTGAAAAAATCTAAAAGCATAATTTTGTTAATAGGTTTTTCAGAAATCGTTTTGGAAAACCTTAGGGTTTTTTAAAACTTATTTCGAGATCTCCTATAAACAGGATATAGAATAGCTTAAATACTTTACATTCTGAAGTTTTGAGTTTTTGTTTGACTACTTTTGTTGACAAACTAGACCAACTTTTTCTATTCTACTTCTTCGGATGGGAATAATTTACTCTCGTATGTTGCTTCAGTGCCTAATGTAAAATGTTTTAAAAGCAAATTAAAACTGTATTTGAGTTCCTTCTGATCTGTTATCTATCTGTGTATCTTATCTTTCTATCAGGTGTATGTCTACCACAACTTTTTGTTGTAGTTACAAGCCCTCATGCATTTTGATGTACCCCGTTGAAAAAATTCATGTACTAGGTTTTATTCCTCTTTTTTTTTCGCAATTTCTTATTGTTAATAAATACACAGCAAACAAAACAAAAAAAGAAACTATGTTCACATGTTCGAATCTCTATTCGTACAAAATTGATTTTGTGTTTTTCGATAGTTTTAGTTTAGAATAATATAATGGAATATTTTTCCGGTTGTATTCTGACAGAATAAAGCTTATATCAACTACGTAGAGTGCGAAAACATTGGCAACCCTGGAGGTGCCCGCTTACTGCTTCGTAGCTTAGTTAAAATGTTTTTTTTTCTTTCTCTTTTGTCACAAGGTGAGCTGCTATGTGATCTTTTTCATTCTTTGTTTCAGTTCTACATCTCGGTTTTGTCCCTATTTCTCTATCGTGTTTTTTTAATTTTTTCCTAAACGAGTAAATAAAGTTTCATAAGGTTAAAGAAATAACCTCCATAAAAATTTTAACGAGTGCCTATATTCACATTGGTTTTCAGAAATGCAAAAACTTCGCTCTGTTCTTCTGGTACATTTATGGTCTACAGAAGCTAAAAGAATAGGGCATTTTACTTTGTTAATCAAACTTAAGTTTATGTTTTATTCGAGGTGTTACCGACTAGGTAATGTAAAAAGTTTACAGGAAAGTTATTATTATCATCCTTTAAGTGCAAAAAATTAAGTAACAAAAGAAAAGAAACGATAGTTTCTAAGAGTGTAATAGGGTAGTTTCTAGATACAATGAGAATTTCTTCTCAGAGTCTAACATGCCGAGATGAGATACAACTCTACTGTCTAATATGACAGAGCAATTCCCAATGACTAATAAAATGAATGTTTTTTATATATGCGCATAAATGAAAGAGGGAACTGACTTAGAAGTGCGATTTAAAGATCATATCATGTACCCGGACCTGTTGCTGCTGCTTTCAATATGGTGTTTCCTCAAACGATAAATAAACGACAAGCAACGTAATATGACTATCTAAGTCAATCTATTTGTTGGAAAGCAATAATGGTGGAAACTGTTCAGACAGCAAAGAATTACAGAAAGGCATGAAATAACATTTTCTTGATATTCAACTTAGCCTGATTTGCACCGTACCAATCGTTTATGGCATCGAGTTGAAGTTTAGACAAACGAAAAGATTAATTGTATAAGTTGAACGATCATTGTTTTACAATTTTATCTTGAAACGCGAAGCTTTCGATCATACCTATGATAAGCAGCAGCTGTACCTTATACGAAAAAACAGGCAGTACATATATTGAATTGATGTAAATGGAACAAATCTTGTTGTTGATCCCATTCTTGTTGATATTTAAGTGATGTTTCTAATAACGAGTCCTTTAATTGTGACTCATTCCTTAACAATTTATCTTGAATTGTACCAAAATATTGACAGAATAAAACAATGATCGTATCAACATCTTTTTTAACTAATTTATGTAGGTTTATCAACAGATTTATTGGCCGATTGCATACGATTTCTTATAATTTGATTGAAAACGGAGTTGGAGTTGAAAGAATAGGAAGATTTGTCTTAAACTAGAAAGAATGTGTCCTGAAGTGTGCCTCGTTCAGATTATGTCGTGTCAGAGGATGTATTTGAAATGCCATAACAGAAATATGTCGTGCACGTGAGCACTTCTATAAATGTCTTGCACGACTGCACATGGAATCTGCCCTGGTGTCTTTTCATTTACACTTTTATTTTGCGATAGCACATCTGTATCAAAATTTTACTTAGAAATCGAAAACTATTTCGACATAATTCATTAAGACTCGAACTTTAATGATTTCATTTCATTGAAAAAAGGTATCTTCGATGATTAAGTGGCTTGATCGCTGGTAGCTGATGTGGTTCCTGGGCAGGAAGTGTACACAGCGCTTGAAATGTTCTCGCACTCTACATAGTTTCTTCGGGTTAATCCAAAGAAAAATTAAACGATACATTTTTTTTCTCATATTTTCTCAGAAATAAGCTAAGATAAACTGAATATATCCTGGACATATTCAATGTGCCCTCGTAAACGACACATTCTTTTGTGATGGATCGGGCACCTTAAAAGGCACATACTAGACGACACATTTAAAATGTTGAGTAATGAAAAAATATGTGCCTGAAAAAAATGTGCCTCGAGGGCACGTTTTTTTTTACGGTGTACGTTGTGTTTCTTTCTTTCTTCATTGTTTACTTTTGATACAGTGCAACAAAAATTTAACTCAAACGCTTAGCTAAATGGACGTCGATGATTTATATTTTTATTCTATGTCATAAATGCAAATCGCTCAATTATATACATAATAAGTGAAAAAGCTGAAACAAATACTTAAAAATCAAATTTTTTTTAAAAAAATGTTCAGAAATCACAGACAATACTAAAGTGGTTGTAAACGTTACTTCAAATATTAATTCAGATTTTTGACTGAACTGATCCGAAACTAGAAAATGAATAGTTAATGTTCATTATTTCCATCATTTGGATTTGAATTCATTAGTTCTGTTTGTCCTAAATCTTCTGATGTTTGACTTACCAAACGAAAATAGTGTTCTGCTAAACCTTTGTTACTTTCTTTCAAGCTTTCACCAATAGTTGCTAAATTATCCATTTGAACAGCATGTAAATAATAATTCAAATTAGCTTTCTGGAATGTGTAATGAATTTTTGGATATTGAACACGTAACTTAGTATCAATTGTACCATAAATATGAATCTCTTTTACTTGTTTTTTATCATGTAATTTAGACAAGAGATCTGTAAAAGCAATTTTTGACGATACGAATAGATGAAGTTGCTTATTTGGATGTTCATCTAACGTTTGTTCTAATTCATCAAAATTTTTAATATAGTTTACTTTTAAATGACCATTTTCGTTGTACATAGGTTTGGCTTCAGTATCCAAGAGAACCATCATTTCATTGAGTTCGGAAGAATGAGACATTACTATGATATAAGGGAAGCCGTCAAAATTATGATCGTAACAAACGTAACAAACGGCGCAAACGTAACAAACGGAGCAAACGTAACAATCGTAGAATGTAAATAGCTTCTCTTTGATGTTTGTATAAGAGAGAAAATATATAAAATCTATGTTTTCTTCTACATTTTTTTTTCATTAACTCTTATATAGAATACATCAAAGTACCTATTAACTGTGCTAATTAATTATAGGTAATATGTATATTCTATTTAGCCTTATCACTGCTAATATTGTCTTAAATAAACAGTAAAAATGATTTTTCACTACCGGTGTCATACATTATTTTCTAAAGAAATCTGGTTTGAAAGTCATAGATATTAGGTGTAGTCGATTACGTTGTACGTCGAAAAGATCTCGCTAAGGTAACCGTGATTTTTACTCGAGGATCTCCGTGTTGAGATTTCATGTTTTCCTACACTAAAGTACAACTCAGCTTACGTTCCAACTTCAAAAACAGCCCTCTTTTTGATCTTTCTTTCTTCGTCGCGCATATAGAGGTGAACATAGAAAGTAAGAAACGACAAAAGAATAAATTTTATATTTTTATATGCTCAATCAGTTATTCAATGCCCATGAAAAACAGGTATCGTCCCGATTCGTCCACAAATCAGACACTTCAGAGAATATACAACAAAGAGTTTCAAAAGCGGGAGGGGCGGTGTGAGAGTGAGTGTCGACGAATCGGGACTGTATCTGAAAAACAGTACCCACTTCAGTTTGTGCTACAAGCCGTCATTTTGGCGAATTGACATATAATGGACTAAAAAGTATCTATTTCTGCCTTTTACACTATTTTCTAACACCCGAGTTGTACTCTTCGTCGAGTGATTTTTTCAAAAAAGGTACCGTTCAGTTTTTGAGTTATACAGCTGCCAATATCATTGTCCAGAATACCAAAAATTTAGTTTTGATGAAAATTTCAGATGGACTTTCCAGTTTTCTCTTCGGGTCATGATATTCAGACAGGATGTTACGGAGTTTATCTACAAACTTTTCTTGTTATGTATGTACGAAGCATATATCGAGTAAACTTAATATAGAAAAACTGGATTAAGAGAAAGGTATGAGAACGACAGAAAGAGTACACATTATTACATGTTCGCAAAAAGATGGAGAAGGACATCCGAAGAAAACAAACAAAATAATTAGTTCAATTTAACAAGTTATAATTTTGTTGACATTTTTGTAAATGGATCTGGGATGTATTCATCTCAAATAGTTTTCTTGTGCTTCTATATATGTATGTAGAACTTTATCCCTCTTTATAGAAAAGAACAAATTTTCTATTTTAATCTATATATTCATTTATTATATGTCGAAAGGAAGCAGTGCCCATCCGATATGTTTGATTATAACAAATTTGAAAGTACTCTTCTCCAGTTTTTAAGAAAATTTGAAGTACAAAAGTTGTACTCTATGCCAAGCTATTTTTTAAAAAAAGGTATCGCTTGGTTTCTGAGATATAGAGCGATCAATATGACAGCTGAAAGTTTGAAAAAGTAGATACGCATGAAAAATTCAAAAGAATTTTCAGAGAACATATCAAAATAAATCATACGTTCTTCTTTTATGTGCAGCAGCTAGATAAACTCTTTTCCACTATCATGGCTTTCCGGCTTTCCGGCTTTCTCTTTCGGTCAGGATGTCTTTTTAAAAATGAGCGCGAGAAAGTAGAAGAGTGCTCACTTTTTTATTTTTGATCGGAGGCGAAACCTTGACACCTTGACACATTTCAAACTTAGGATCTATGAGGAACCAAAAGATCGAATTTTCTACTTTTATCTAGTTCATAGAGTTCTAGAAATTTTGCCTTAAAACAGCCGTTTTTAGATACAGCATCGCTTTTTCGGAAACTCATTCTTAAAACATTTTGAATATCAAAATATTATTGTTAAGCTTAGATTTAACGATGTCCGGATAAACTTTTCATATAGCTTTTATATGTCTTACTTATGGAATTGTTTCTGGATTAAAATAATTTTGTTTTTTTCATAGCCGTGCACATAGAAATTTCTTGTCTAAACAATGCAAAACTTTAAACTTTTTTTCTTTGTTTATCTTACATCATGTAGTTAAACCAACAGAAAAAAGATACTTTTTTTTAGTAAATTGAAGAGCGCTTTCAGATAAAACTTTTTTCTAAGAAACATGAAAAAAAGCGGTTAGAACCGACAAAGTGGATGATTGTTTTTAATTACTTTAGAGCAAAAGAGACATACTTTACAGCTTAAAATGAAAACAAGGTGTGACGGATTGAGATGTCGAGCAGGTAGTTAGAGCACAGACACAGAATGTCAAGGTTCTGAGTTCGAATCCTAGTCTGGTTACACATTTTTTCTTCGCAGAAGGTACGTGGGATAACCAAAGTATGATGATTAAAATAAGATGTTCAGACGGAAGATTCAGTAAGAGTGTTTTATTCTAGTTTCGACGATCCATGTGTACGAAAAAGAATTGGATTTTGAATACAAACATAAGTACCGTGTCGACCTGATACTGCTGTACAAAATTACACAAGTTCCGATCTTTCATCAGTCATGATATAGGATTCTTCGGAGACCCTCGTGACTATCCCGATTTAGGTCTAATAACCTCCAAAACACAGGATCCATAAGCTATCGGCCCACCTAACCATCGTGGCTTTGTTTATTTAATTCTAAAAAATAAAGAAACATTAGACGATAAGCTTCTAAAGAACTCTCATGTTCCTATTCGCAGCATCCGTTCGTTCGTAACCGACGATATGTACCTTTAAAAATATATTCAACTTGATGTCTGACTGATAAATTAGCTGGAGAAAGTTGCTTCTAAATACGCACTTTGGTTTAAGTTTCTCTAAATATCCCAGAATCCTCAAAAAAGTCGCATTGGAAACATTTTGACTTTGCATAATATCAAAAATTGGTCTTTGGAATGACTTTGATAAGAAAGCAAACATTTCTCTATATTTCAGAAAGTTTGACACTTTAGTGACCCTGTGTTGATCAGATTTTCTGATCTAAAGATAGGATTTTAAGTTGGTTTCCAAAAACACGCTGGAGCTAGTGAACTGTGGTACCAGGAGATGTTACACATAATCATATTTTTGAAGAGGAATATCAATCTTCTGTAAGAGCCATTTTCAGAGTTATCGGGTAGTCCACAAAAAATGGGAGACTTTGTGCTTTCTGTTCTTCTCCATACAGTCCCAACCTTTTTGGAAAAATTTTTTACCAAAAGATGCTCCGTGAAATACTCTACGAAACCATATCTAAACTTTAATTCAGAACTTCAATCAAGACAACTACACCTGGCGAAAAAAATGAAAATTTTCTTAATTCCAAAACGATTTTCTGTGTTAACCATTTGAAAATAAGAAAAATTGAACTAGCCATTTTGTAGCTCTAACCTTACTCTGTCTTTCAGCTACACTTCAAGTTTTTTCACATCAAAACTCATGGAAAAATAATAATTTTCTGTCGGTGATCATGCATTTTTTCATTGATTTTTTAAATTCTGCGTATGACGGTGCTTCCAGTATTATTGCAAGCATCTCTTCAACCCCTTTTACCTAGACTCAATATCAACTACTATAAACCACTCGATAGACAAATTCACCGGCCACAAAATGATACATAAGAGAGTCTTAAGAACGTGTAACTGGATAGTCTAAGGCTCAAAATACTCGGTAGCATCCCAGGAAACCGCCGGGTCAACGTCGTTCATATTTATAGTATCCATTGATTTTCTCGTTAACCACTCGATACAGAATTTCACGAGCTTCAAAATGAGCTATCAATAAGTCTTTCAAAAATATGGCCACATTGGTTAATAGTTGAAATACTTGGCCGATATAATGATTTACACCTATCTTAGTGCTTGGAACACTCCGTTAGTCTTTTTTCTGCCATAATGAAAAGTTTTTAGGGAAACCGTCAAAAATAATGAAATGTGTAGAACGCGATGATTTTATTGCAGAAAGGAATGCTCGGGCCTGATGTCCGCATGCACTGCCGTATACAAAAAAGTAAAAATTGATAAAAAGATTAACAGATTTTTATTTTGACATTAAGAGAAAAATAAAAATTAATTTTTTCTGCTTTTGTACAGGAAAAAACATATATTTTTAGTTCATATTACCGAGTATTTCGGGTCTTAGACTATTCAGTTACGCTTTCTTATGGTTATCTTATACATCCCTTTGTAGCTCGTGAAATTCTCTATCGAGTGATATATAAAGTGGAGGGGTTAACGAGACAATTAGTCACCGTTATAAACATGAACGATGTTAACCTGCCGGTTTCCCGGGAAGCTACCGATTATTTTGGGCCTTAGACTAGTCAGTTACATTTTCTTAACGAACAAAGTAAGAAAAAGACGGTGTTATCGAATAGTTCCAAAGTAATTCTGCATTCTGCTCACTTGGTTAATTAAAACTGGAATAAATAGAGATGACCCCTTTTCACTTCTTACACTAATTTGAAGTACACGACTTGTCGAAAATTATAATTTTCAGATATGGGTACACAACATGTTTTCTCTTTAACGAACAAAGGAAGGAAAAGAATGTAAGAAAAACGTAAGAAAACTCCACTGTGTGTGCATAGAAAGAAGAAAACATCAAAATTTCATTTAACTAAACTAGTGCGTGGATCATACAGACATGAATGTTTCCTTATACACATAATTGCTACATATCACGTATCTAGACAACACCTACTGTAACAGCTTAAACAGTAAGTCATAGACAATTTGATCTTCTTTTCAAGCGTTTGCGAGCCACATACAACAAACAAAAAATAAAAAGACAGCTAGAGCAAACCAGGGAAAATTCTATTCATTACGGTGCGTTGACCAGTCAATACTATAATCAAGTTCTTCATCATCATAATCTTCTAGTTTTGCTTGATACTCCGTTTGAGGCGGACTTTCGCATTTAATCGATATGCAAAAGACAGAAGGTAAAAAATGATATTAATCGT